GATCGCGGGCCGCGGCGCTTATCCACTACGCCACTGAGTTATGTTATGATGTTGCGTAAATTTGTTATCTTGTGCCAGCCTTTTCAGTTATTGTTTTTCATACAGGTTTTGTTTTATTCTAATTATATTTTATCCGTATTTCACTATATTTACTCACAAACACAAAGCACTACACGTTACACATTGTTACGAGACGGATGGTGGCGTACGTTTCGTATTCCTCTAAAACAATCACGCGTTGTTTTCGACAAACACTCGTAAAATCATTTAACGTTTGGTTTTATTACAGTCCTGGTTCAATGCGAACTGTTATTGTACAGTTTGTATTTACCAACAAGTTTTAATGTGCAGTATTGTTGCATTACATATCGATAGTTTTATTATATCGATACTATTGTCTTTGTTAAATAAGCTTAAAGAAAAATCAACAACATAGGTGTTGTTACAATTAAAACGTGAATTTATAAAATTACTTAATAGAAAAAAGTATGTTTTTTTATCGCTGATTAATGCACCACTTTTAAATTTTTTTTCTCGTATTTTATACTCTCTTTTTATAGTTAAAATTGAATAACATTATTACAAGCTCATTGATGATTTAACTCCATCCCAAGGTTGCCTGAAAGAGATCACTTTTAGTGATAAGGCCGCCATTTGTACGTCTCCTTTTTACAATTGAAATTGTAAGTGTTATGTGTGTGTACAATACAGTTTATTCTATTCTACTCTAATATGTGAGTTATTTATAGTCGAGGGTCATATAACGTGTATGACAATCATAATAGTCTGTGAGTAATTAATTAATTAATAATGGATTTGTTGAGGACAATATTACAGAATGATCGAATATCAAAGAGCAATACTATTCGAGGGTGAATGTGTTGATTATGATTATCGATAATTTGCCTGTTTTCAAAGTATCGTCATTCTATCGATGGATTTATCGCTATTGCAACATCACTGACATAATAACCATGTTTAATATATATTCGTATTTAGTTTTACGGAACCATTTCCATAGAGTCGCAACTAATATAAATAGATGATAATAATACTAAATAACAAGAGTAGTTTACATTAATACCAAACAGTGCTATTAATAAACAAAATTTAGCACCAGAGTTATTTTACACTAAAATTGCAAATTTTATTATTAGTTCAAATTCATATTATGCAAGCCTACTACTATTTTCTAAGAGTAAATATTACGCCCGTAGAATCTCGTACTAGGTTAACCTTTGCTGTCTTTGTTTAATAATATAAATTTTAACTAATACCAAGTGCAGTCTCAGCATAAAATTAGGAAAATATGTTCCTACGATTTTGATAAAATCATATCCGGGAACATTATCTGTGCACCAGGAGCAGTGGCAAGTCTTACCTCCGTTGCGTCGCAGATTATATAAAAATGGCTTCTTTGGAATCAAAAACAGTTGAATTGTGAAACTCCGAAATAAAGTCATTTCAACAAAAACATTAAACTATAATATAAATACCTTTCAACTTGTATACCTAATTTGCTAGTTCGGTTGCGGTTGGTTTATGCCTTCACAGAGGCCAAAAGGTACATCCAAAATAAATTACTGATCTGACTCACATTCTTTTGCTGTTTTCTATTTTCCAGAGGACTGAACAGAAATTGCGTGTTGTGGCTATGCATGACTCCATTACTTTTTATGCTTTTCTAGTAAGTTACAGCCTTTCTGTCTGTAACTTAGATATTTTTTTAATGTGCAACACCATACACCGATGTTTTCCAAAAAAACATAGACTGGCACATAATGCGTATACATATTTACACTAAAGAAATTTATCGCTATATTTTGAGAGAGAATCCTGCTCAATTATGGCTCGTGCTAACGTGAACACACCTTAGAATCACTACTAAACTTTTATAGGAATGTATGTGATTTTTAGTGTCGGAGTAGTCGGATAATATGTGTTGTCCTTTATAACGTTATGTTTAAATTATAGATAAGCGTGTGACACGTTGCCTATCTAAATGGTTTATTAATTATGCAACAGTATTGATTTTTGCATAATTGAACTTTCAGATATGCTCTATCGCATCAACGTGTTGGTGTATTTTTTATATTTAGTAACTAAGCGAAGTTATACATAATTTTTAATTATAAATAATGTAATACTCGTAGTAATGTAAGTATATTAGGTGCATGTTTTTGTTTAGTTTGTCTTTGCAATATGTAATGTGAAGGGTCGCAACCTTGATAACTGCAAAATGTACTATTGATTTCTAATTTACCCGGTTGTCACCTGTTTTGTGAATTTTGATAAACAAAGCAAAATATAGATGGATAATAGAATATTTCATTCTTATATATAAAATCTAAGGAGGCAACGATACGACGACTCTTCTCAGAATTAAATGCTTGGTCAGTGTATATAATATTCAGGTCAACTTGTTTATTTTTATTAGTCTATCTATTTTAAATGGATTTACCATATCTATGGATAAAAATGAAACATGAAACTTATCCATGACGTACTTTATGTAAGTGTGAACATTCTTGGAATTATTTTCGTATCCGATAAGGGATTTCAAACTCATTTACATTGATTTGTAAGTAAACTTCGTTGTTAAAATACAGTATGTTAAGAAAACCCAATCCGACCTTACCACAAAGAATCAAGTATGAAAACGTTAAAAAAGGAATACATTTTTAGTTTATTTTAGTTTAGGACTGGTATAGAAGAATTAGCACCATCACAGATCGTAACTTTTTAATTTGACGACAAAAACAGTTCCACTAACTTAATCCACTGCCTTTTATTTTTATTTTCCTTCAATAATTGTTCAAACAATGGGCCTTATCCCGAGGGATCAAAGAAGAAAATCGGCGCCAAACAAAATGTGTTTATATCCCGTTTTCTTTATCAAACAAACAAGTCGGTTTCCCGAGACCCTCCCCGGGGAATATTTCCTTTTGTTATTTTTTACTTTTGTTTTTCCCGTTTTGTTTTCGGAGGACTTCCAATATGATAGCTTAAAATAATATTACATACCATTGACACTGTTTTGCATTTCTTTCAAACGAATTATATTTATATTTGCCATATTACATTTATCAGTTGTATGCTAGAATATTCTTTTTAAAGTTTCACAAGGACCGTATAAACGATGGGTGACCAATAACTTGTTATTTCCAGCTCCCTCGTCCTTCGGAAGGCACGTTAAGAAGTAGCCTCTGCTGTCTCTACAGTCATTTACAGCCAATAATCCACACTCGGCCTGCGTAGTGATTCATACATAGCCTATTCTCCGTAGGTATTCGATTCGATTTCAGCCATAGGGAAGGCCTGTGCCCCAGTATTGGCAACACTTGAGATGGCGATGGATACTTAATTCTTCCTCTTTACCACCCTAGCCATCGGTTAAAATCGCACAACAAAGTGTTTGCTAATTATTGATTTAGACAAACATATAACAATTATACCAGTATAAGGATCAAACTTGCACACAAACAAAACTTTATCTTTGATCCGTCCGACATAAAAGCTCGTCGTCTCGATTCATCTTGAATCTATCTGTTTCAGATAAGTTAATGGACACATAACATGGAGTTTTTCTTGATGTAAAATGCTTATAAATTCTCTTTATCGCTGGTACTCTGAGCACTGAGCTACCCAGGACCTAACAGAACTGACGATTGAAACATTCGTCAGTTCTGTTAGGTCCTGGGTAGCTAGATAGCGGTTGGTACTTTTTCGCTACTACAGAGCGAATCTTCATCAATGTTCAGGCAATCCACCCAAACAGCCGAAAGAAATATTTTTACAAATATTTTAAACTTTCAATAAAAATGATAATTTGTTCTAATTATTATATTTGATAATTCTAATTTCAAATTAATTATATTTAAAAAACATGAAAATGTTTTTCCTAAAATCTTCATTTGTTAAAAGTTAATGTTTTTTGTTCAACGCATTCGTACATTTTTCGTCATTATGGATAAGTTAAAAATTCGAGTAATAATGGAGTATGAGTACTGTCGTGGCAGCAAAGCGGCACGAGCGGCATGTAACGTCAACGTCGTTTATAATAATATTTATTTATTTGCAAAAATATGGTTATGGTTTACGGAGAGAACACTACAAACGGACGCACCACCCGTCATTGGTTTGCCTACTTCTGTTCTGGAAATTTTAACCTGAAAAATGAACCTCGTGGTCGTCCGAAAACTTTGGTCGACAATGACGAATTAAAGGTGATTCTGGAAGCTGATGAAACTTAATCTACGGCTGAATTAGCAGCAGCTTTCGACGTTAGCACCAAAATAATATTAATCCATTTGCGTCGAATTGGCAAGGTAAAAAAGCTTAACAAATGGGTACCTCACGAACTCGATGATCACCAGCGCAAAGTGCGTGCGCGAGACGTGCTTTGCACTGCTCAACAGGCATACAAATAAAGGAATTATGAACCACATTGTTACTTGTGACGAAAAAAGAATCCTATTCGATAATCTTAAGCGCTCAGCAAGTTGGTTGAATGCTGTTTTAGTATCCAAACAATGCTCGAAACGAAAACATACCCTTAGAAAAGTGATGGTCAATGTTTGGTGGTCTAACGCAGGTGTAATTCATCACAGCTTCTTACCTAACAGGCGAGCAGATGTCTACTGTAAAGAACTGAACACAATGATAGAGAAGATTGCACATCTCCAACCAGCTTTGGTCAATCGTTCCGCTCTCCAATCCGCACGGGGTTGGTCAAAATAAAGTTCTCCGTTATGCCACCGACCTTGCGCCTACAGATTTTTACTTTTTCCAGAATTTGGATAACTTCTTGGCTGATTTCTTCAAGAAGGGCATCAATAAGCTAGCAATGAATTGACAAATATACATGATTACATTGATTAATAGAATTAAAAAATATAGAAAAAAATGCGCTTATTTCATGAAAAATGGTAATTTCATAGGTAAAGACCTCATATAGTAATGGAGATTTTGTTTGAACCTTTAGTCTAAATTTCTTTTTTGTCTAAATATAAAATGTAAATGATTAAATTTTAGTTGGACATCCATGTATGAATAGTAATATAGTTTTCTGTTTTAGATCTACTTACATAGAAACGAAACGTCCACCCATTCCACCTTCATTATATCTTCTGATCAATCTCAGAAGACGGCCTTTATTAAGGACGCTTCACTTACCTGAAAAAAGAGAAAAGAAATTACTGTGAGCATGTACCCTTAGGATTTTAAAAATTTTGCTTTGTTCAACAATCATTATAAATAATCTAATATGTTTCAAAGGTTGAACAATATTATGATTTAGGTACTATTTGAATTTATAAATTTTTGTCATTAGTTAGTGTCATTAGATATTGTAATTAGTCATTAGTTAGGGTTCGCTAACCATAGCATATGGCATAGGTAAACACGGAATCCTTATAGATTCATCATATCTCTCCATCGGACAAAAAGCTTAACTACCCGTAATACATGATCTGAAACAAAGAAGTACTCATAAATAAGTTCTAAAATTAAGTTTTTTTTTAGTAAAATGTTAGTCCACTTTTCAATTCAATATTTTTCTCTCTTAAGATATATAAAAGAAACAGAGCTTATGTATCATGTGGATATACAGACCGGCAGATAAAAATATTTCCTCATAAATGTGATCTTTATTAATTTGACCGACGCACGGTATAACACGGCGACATCAGTTAGAGTGCTGCTTATAAAATGAATAAAATTCCATTCAGAAAAAATCCTATTATTATATTCAAAATTAGTTAAAATAGTTTTTGTTTTATAGAAATCTGGAATATTTATAGTATATTTTGAAATATCAACATCACTATCGACGCTGTATTTACACATTGGTAGGTGCTGAGGACCCTGTGACTTTGGACGTTGCCAAATGCACATTTCACAAAAACGATTATATTAATAAAATACAACACTAGATTACATAATATATTATATTATGTTTGCAAAAGTTAAAATAGTACAAATATAAATAAAGTGTTGCCTTGTTCTAATATCCATCATTGTAGGTCATATAAAATTTTACTCACCAAAGAGTATTATGTACCCTAGTGAGATCTATTGATCGCATCTAGATCTGCAGTAATATCAAAGTGAGTAAAAACTAAGGCAAAACCTTAGTTAGTTAGTTTCAGCAATTATTATTTTAGTGAATTTCAACTAATGATATTTTAAATATATGATGACTCGGTCGGATATCAAATGGCAAAAGTTGACTACGTCAACTTGTAATTAACTGTAAATTCATTGTTTCGTTACAATCAAACTGACTAAATAGGAAAAATTTATTAATAAAAAATGCAATAAGGGCTTAGAAGAATAAATATTGGAGATATTGGATAAAAATTTCAAAGCTATCCAATTGAGGAGTAAAATGAGAACTAAAGTAATTCCTTTAACTTTATACTGTATTCCTTCATCGTATTTTTGTGACACCTGAAACCCCCAATCAATGAGCCGAGACTAGTTTATGTGGAGCGAAATATCTAAAACCATAAAATTTATCCTGACTCGTATATTCTTACTATTCATAAAGTCGGTTTGATGCTAGCAATTTCTTTTTATATTCTAGTTTAGTGTCTCTTCTAGAAGGAAGGTAACAAGGTTAGTTTTAGTTTAGAAAATACGTAAAAGGAGTGGACATCCATCAGATAATCTATCCGTTTGTATAGTCGAGAAAAATAGAATCTCGACTCGTCCACTGAATTTGTGTTTGCGTTAAATATTAATTCTTTTATTATAACCTATATAACATTATAAAAAACCAATAACCGATTTTGTGAACCGATCATATCTGCTTCGTGCACCAGGATTAATGTTGGGGTACATGAAGTTATTCAATCACTTCTACAACAGTTGCTTAATCTATCTTTTGGAGTTCGCCCTGAGCTATCTAAATTCTAAAATCCAAAGTCTATACTCCTCCAAATCACGGTATTAAAGTCGTAAGATAATATTTCGACTTTAACTTTAAACTCTACAGTTAAATTATTCTGCCGTTACAACCTTCAGTTCTACATCATCTGCAACCTAATCTGGGAACCTCCTCTCCTGGAGGCTATCTTCGTCTGGACACTTAGAAGTCCTAGCCGCTGCTCAGTCCAAGCTATCGAACGACCTACTCGACACTCTTAGAGTCTCTACGCCTCTTCAAGACAACGCACCAAATCGCCTCTCAAGAGTGTGAACATTACCATCCCCTTGAGCTGACATCGGGTCACTTCTATCATAACTTCAATGTTACCAACGGAGCTTTGCCGTCACCTCACGTCCACTTCACCAGACCACCTTCACAACTAACATGCTCCTAACACTTCACTATACATCCCGCACATCTCTTTTGTATCATTTTTGTTTTTGTGAATAAATTTAATTCCCTTTAAATTTTGTAGTCAGTTATTTTTCGTTTCATAATAAGTTGCGGGAAGTCGCTGAATGTGGTGGAGGCCTAAACTCAGCAGTGGGCTTCGTACGCTTGACGAAGATGATGACTAAACTAATCTAGTGATATGGTTATACATCTGCCATAGAATTCGAAACCATACTGAAATTGTTAAGATTTGTGTTAAAACGAGTGTTAAAACCTAGACCCGGTTGCTTGTTTGTCTGTATTTTTATATGAAAAGAATTATATACAGAAAATATAAATAATAAAAAAAATCTATTGATTTGCTGAAATAGAACGATTATACGTCAGCGTCATATAATTCTGTGGCCTGAAAAAAGAAATGGTTGATTACTGATTAATTTAACTGATTAACTAATTAATTTAATAAAATATTATTCTTCCTATAACCACTCCATGGTCCCAGTTGCTCGCAGTAAGGATTGGTTCTGAAGATATGAGGTAATAAATAAAATTACATACATACCTTGTGTGTTCATAAGTTTTGAGACGAAATAAAAGTTGCGTAACTTTTTTAATGGAGGGCCACTCGTCCGTCGCGATGAAATAACGTATCAGATAGGGGTTTCACCACGGGCTCTTTAATGTTACTCTGATAATTCTTGGCTTTCACCTTAACACCTTGTTGGCTGAAATAGAGCGGAGTGACACCTTCATACGAAACTCCCCACCATACCATCACACTAGCCAGATGATGAGTGCGCGAGACATTCTATGCAGAAACTGGGATATCTTTGCTACTTATAGTGACAGTAAAATTTTTCTCGTCTGTGAAGAGTGTCTTCGTGGTAGTTCCATCATATCTCCTCAGCAGCAATGGACAACGTTCGCGTCGTAACTTACGAAGACGAGCGTTTAAAAAGTGAACTTTTCTACGCTATAGGCCTTTAACTCATATTTCAGTACACTGAATTGCGCGAAATAGTAGTCTGCCAGATAATCGAATCAGGTTATGAGACAGCACGTCTAGGGCATAATGATGAATCGTATATATATTGACTCGCTTGAGTATTTTAAAATGTTTTATTTTCGCTTTCTAATAATGACCATGAGATTGCGTTAAATTCAAATCGTCAGATTATTATATTTGTATAAGAGCTTTATTTCGGTTCACTTAACATCCCCTTAGAAAATCTGACACGCTGGACAAAATTACGTACGACCACCGCTATCATGAAAACAATCGTACATGTTTTTTTAAATTCGTAGGACATGGATCATGTCAATATCTGACGCGCTCGAGTATGACCATGCAATTTTTTTTTACATATTTAATTGGTATACCTGCTCCCCCCCCTCCCAGCGATGAATGAGTATATATTATATCACATTTTTTTTCTATTTATAAACTAAACTTCGTAATCCAATAGGTCTTTATGCGGCTCGAGTAAATCACTAATTAGCACCGTGGGGTCCCCTACTAATAATTTTAGTATTACAATTATATTCCTAGTAAGATGGTAATAAATCGCTTTCGTATACTGTGCATTATATTACATTGTATAAGACGGGTATTAACGCAATAGAATTTCGATAGTTAGGTTTTTCACCTACCTATATTTCCCGACGTTTCCACCAGGTAACACCGGCCGTGGTCACGGGCTGACTGTTTCTGCGATGCTACGTCTCACAAAAGTTTATACTGTGCTTTTTACTTTCGTATGCTATTTCTATCTTACTGCGACACCTATTTCTATCTTACAGTGACGGTTCTGAAGTTGTCCTGTTATATCTGCGTCTCCGTTTAATAAAGTCTCACATAATGGCTGAGGTCTTAATATCTTCGCATTTTCCTCACGCCGTGTTTGTACACCTTATTAAGCTGAACAGTTATTCTTTCGAGCGGTTACGTGATCATTTTTCAAGTACCACATTTTATTATTGTACTTTCTTATGATTGTTTGGCACTGCAAGGTCTAACGACTAAGGGTGCTCTTTAGAGGAGTGTAACACGTATAGAGTGGTGGTTTTTGTGAGATTTTTTGCCATTTGTGTAGATGAACTGATCACTAATGGTTGGCCACATAATAAAGCAGTCATACGATCAGCCGCCTACATCGTTATTTTTTTTTTGATCTGGTCAGGCTATATCATGATGTTCAGTTGTAACATATGGCCATGACATAAATATAGATTTATATACTTATTCTCTCATTTCACGGGTATGGAAACATAATTAGAAACTGACAATCATTAAAATTTAATTTTTCTTCATTGGTGACAATTTAGTTTTGTTTTGCCAGAAAATGTGTAATTATGCGTATAAAATCAATTACAACAGCAGTCGGACATCACTGGCAATGGCAGAGGCGTCCGCAGGGAAAATACTGACGAGTCATACTCGTATATTTTCTGATATTTTATTAAAATAATTGGTGAAAAAATGCAAGTAAGTTTGTAATCAGTATATTTTTTTGATATTGAATATATGTCAATCGATATTTAATAATATTTTCATGGATTTTATTATTAAAATTATATTAGCACGTAAAGCAAAAACTTGAAGCAAGTCAAGGTTACTACACACACAATTAAAGCCACGCCTCGCAAATTTTAGGTCAAGATTCGGTATCTGACGAAAGGGCGAATCGATTTTCACGTCGCTTACTGTAAACGACACTCAACAACGAATATATAGTCGGAGTGCGCTCTGAAGCTGGAAAATAATCTTACATATTATATCTGAGTCTCTCTTGCTGACAGTGAACGAGACAAATAGAGACAGATGATGGGAACAAAAACATTTTCAATTAAT